CTGCTTCTCCCTCTGACCCTCCCCCCTCTCATGCTCTCTCTCTCTTTCATTCTCTCTCTCTAATAAATAAATAAAATCTTAAAAAAAAAATCCATCTAAGTTACAAGGAAGGAGTTGATTAAAAACTGTTGCCTGGAGAGAAAAATCTCGATTAATGAAGTAATTCATTTCCGATTTCACTGTGTCACACCCTATTCTCTTCTTACCTGTCCACAGAATTAGCTACAGCTTCCAACTGTTGGAGAAGAAAGGGATAGAGTTCTGGGAAACGAGAAAAGAATTCACTTCCTGTCATTCTGTAAAGGGAAGAAAAACAAATTACTATCTTTTATTTCCTCTGATCTAATAATAAAGCCTTTTTATTTTACTTTATTTAAAGGAAGAGAGCCAAGGTCATTCGCTTGAATATTTAATGAAGAAAAGTTAAGAACAAACCTCATCTTAAAAATTTAACAATCAAAACAAAACATTTAATTTTGATTTTGGAAGTGCTCTTGACACATGGAATTTTATCTCAAAATTTAAGGTTATGTATATTTACAAATATTTGATATTAAATTCTATTGGGGAAGAAACTGCAAATGCCAAGTTTCCACAACTGATTTGGACCATGAATATAATCAACATCTGGTTGGCTAAGGCTGACAGCTTCTGTAACAAAAGCAGGTCTAGAATAGGTTTCTCCAAGCTGGCACCAATGATATTTTGGACCAGATAATTTTTTGTTGTGGGGGACTGTCATGTGACTGTAGGATATTTAGCAGCCTCTGTTGCTTCTACCCATCAAATGCCAGTAATACCCCTCCCCCTTCAAGTCATGACAATCAAAAATGTCTCTGGAAAAAACAACGTCTCTGGACATTGCCAAATGTATCCCGAGGGGTAAAATGGTCCCCAGTGGAAAACCACTGGTCTGGAGTATGGTTATCAGAGGCACAGATTTCGTGCATACGGTTCTGGACATCCAATCTCAGCTGACACCTGTGAGGATTAACTTTCCATCTTTATAAACACTACTCTTGAATTCTGACGAGATCCATTCAGTTTTCACAAATGCTTATACTCATGTAACCCACTCCTATGAAGACTCAGAAAATTTCCATCATCCCAGAAAGTTTCCTTGTGCCCCTTCCTGGTCAACTCTCAATACTCAGAGCAACCACTGAGTTTATTTCTGTTACAATTTGGTTTTGTCTATTCTAGAATTTCATATAAATGTAATAATACCTTACATAATTTTTTGTGTCTGGCTTTTTTCACTCAGCATAGTTTATCCATGTTACTTTATGTATCAATAGTTTGATTCTTTTTTTGTTGAGTAGTATTCCATTGTGTGAATATACAAGTTTGTTTATCCATTCTCCTCTTGACAGATATGGGCTGTACCCATTTGTAGGTTATTATGAATAAAGCTGCTAGAAACATTCTTACACAAGGTTTTTGTGTACATGTTTTCATTTCTCTTGAATAAGTATCGGAGAATAAAATTCCAGTATGTTTAACATTTTAGGAAACTGACAGTTTCCCAAAATAATTAGAGCATTTTATACTCCCCCCAACAATAAACTAGAGTTCTAGTGGCTCTGTGTCCTATCCAACATTTGCTGTTGTCTTTCTCTTTATCTACTTTAGCCATCCTAGTGGTAGATTCCTGTGGTTTTGATTTGCATTTCCTTGATGACTAATGATGATAGTAAACACTCTTTTTGTGCTTTGGTTATTGATATGGCCTTTTGTGAAGTATCAATTCAAAATATTTGCCTGTTTTCACATTAGGTTGCTTGCTTCCTTTGCCAAACATGTGCATTACATGTACCTTCTTAGTCTGTGGCTTGCCAATTTATTTTCCTAATAATGTCTTCTGATGAGCAGAAGTTTTCAGTCCAGGGCGCCTGGGTGGCTCAGATGGTTAAGCATCTGCCTTCGGCTCACGTCATGATCCCAGGGTCCTGGGATCGAGTCCCGCATCAGGCTCCCTGCTCTTTGGGAAACTTCTTCTCCCTCGCCTCTCTCTCTCTCATGAATAAATAAATAAAATCTTAAAAAAAAAAGAAGTTTTCAGTCCAATAACTGGGTCCTTTTTTTTTTTTTAATGATTCATGTTTTCTGTGGCTTAAGAAATCTTTGCCTACCCCAACATCACAAAGATACTCTGTTTCCTTCTAGGAGTTTTATAGTTCCAGCTTTTATTGTGAGGTCCATGATCCATCTCAAATTAATTTTTGTGTATGGTGTGAGGTAGAGGCAACTGTTGTCTTTTTCTTTTAAAAATTTATTATTTTGGGGGGCAGAGCAAGACGGCAGAGGAGTAGGAGACCTGGATTTCGTCTGGTCTCAGGAATTCAGCTGAATAGGGATCAAACCATTCTGAACACC